GAATTTTTGACTTTTTCCTAGTCTGGCAATATGTGATATAATCTCTCTGAGATGCTGGTCAGAGTCAGCAAGCTGTGGTTCCTAGTAATCACAAGAGGAAAAGCAATCAATGTCTACAGTATGCTATGCTGCTAAGCTATGATGTTTGCTGGGTGAGGTGGGTTAAATGTGTTGGACTTATTCTATTTTCAACTTACAATGGGTTCATTGGAACCTAAGTTCATCATAAGTTGAGAAGTATCTGTAATATTTTTCGTCTCTAAAAATTTGACTTGGGAGTTTTGTCTTCCATGTTTATGCTTTTGTTTATTTTCTTTTTTAATGCTATTATGTATTTATTTATTTTTATTTTATGTGTATGAGTATTTTGCCTGCAATCATGCATGTGTATCTATGTGTGCAATGCCCACGGAGGTCAGAAGAGGGCATCAGATCCCCTAGAACTGGAGTTATGGGCAGTTGTTAGCCACCATGAGGGTGCTGGGAATTGGATCTGGATCCTTTGCAAGATCAGCCAATGCTCTCAACAGCTGAGCCAGCACTCTAGCCCTGTTTATCTTCTTGATGATAGAAGTATGCTCATTGGATCTGTTTTCATTACTGTGTGCTAATTTTACCACCAATGTCTTTTAAAGATTATTTATAGTATTAATTTTTTTAAATTTATCTATTTTTATTTTATGTGTATGAGTGTTATACCTGCAAATGTATGAGTGCACCCATATTGTGCAGTACCTGAGGAGGACAGAAGAGGGAGTCAGATTCCCTGGAACTGGAGTTACCAAGGGTTGTTAGCTGCCATGTAGGTGCTGGGATTTGAACCTGGGTCTTCTGCAAGAACAGCCAGTGCTCTTAACCACCGAGTCATCTCTTCAGCCCATATAGTATTGATTTTTATCTCAGTTTTATGTTATACTTCCTACCATTTTTGCATACTTGATGACTTTTAGAATTTTATTATTATTATATGTATGATGTGTATGTGGGGGGTGCACATGTGGCCTTCAGAGGACAACTTTGTGGAGCTGGTTCTCTCCTTCCACTTTTTTGTGAGTTCTGGGGATCCAACTTGGGTGGTCAGGCTTCTGTGGCAAGCATTTCACCACTGAGCCAGTCCTATACTTGATATTTAAAATAGGATTTTTTGGGGGGGAGTATTTTTATTTTATGTGTATAAGTATTTTGCTTGTGTCTATGTAAGTGTACTACATGAATGCAATGCCCACAGAGATCAGAAGAGGGTGTTTGATCCCCTGTAACTGGAGTCACAGTTGTTAGCTGCCATGTAGATACTGAAAGCTGAATCTGAGTCCTCTGCAAGAGCAGCCAGTGCTTTTAGTCACTGAGCCATCTCTCCAGCCCCTACCTGATAATTTTTAATTCAATGTTGAACAGTGTAAACTTTATGCTTTTCAATGCTGGATTATATTGTATTTCTTTGTATTATTCAATTTATTTGTATTGTTGTTTTTTTCTAAAGAGTAATTTAATGTTTCTGACACTTGCTTTAAAGTTTATTTAGAACAGGTGCAGAGCTAATTAGGTTCCCTGGCTGAGATAATAGCCTCAGAAATCTCTACTCTATAGCACACATATCAATGGGTCTTCCTATCCTGGTAGGTTAGAAAGCAAATATTCCCAGTTTCTTGAGGGACTGGCCTACCTAAGCCTTTCTGATGATCCATCATCTGACCTTAGTTTCCACGTTCACATACACAGATCAGTCTTCATTCAATGTTCAAGAGGCACTCTCTGCAGATCTTGGGCCTCTCTAGGAAGTGTCCCCCTTTCAGGTATCCTGAAAGTGGAAATCCTACCCAGTTTGACCTTCTTGAACTCTGAACCCTGTCTCCTTACATCAGCCAAACTTTCATATTCTGTTTTGGACCCCTTGTCCTTGAACTTCAACCTGAAATCTCTCTCCAAGTAATACTCTGAGTCAATTAGGCTTATCTCTTTTATTTTTCTCTTCTCAGAGAATAAGATACTGTGCTGCCTGTTGTCATAGGAGATATGTTTTGCACAGTTTTGCAGCTATTTTGTAGCTATTTAATGCTACAAGGGATCCTATGAATTCATCATGATCAGATGATATGGAATATTCTATGTCCTTATCCAGATAAGATTTCCAAGGACTGTGTATCATGGTGTGTGTGTATCAAGAGCCTGAGAGAGAAAAAATAGATAACTACAGGAGACCCTAGGAGCAAACACCAACATTTAACATCTTCACTTTCTTGTTGTTTATTATCAACATTGTAGTTTATTCTCACTTATGAGTTGCTATGGTCTTGCAAAAGAATTAAGCAATAAGAGGACTGGACCATTCGAACTGTGTATTAGGTTGATGCATGCTTCATTTGTGAGTGTTCAGTGTGGAGCTGAATTGGAGTTCTCATATAACATTGGGTTTCCCTACATGTGTTGGAAGTCTACACAATATTCAGGGAATCTACTGAATAACTATTTCTAGGAAGCTTTACATGTGATTCTGGAAAAGCCACAGCACTGATGGGTTCATCCTTTTCAGTTCAGGTGGAGTATGATGTGCATGGGAGAGATATATGCAGAATAGGATGAAAAATGTTAGACTCAATCATGAAAGGCCTAATTAACAACCAAAGAATTCCAATTTCTGTCATAGATATTGAAAGGTATGTTAGTCAACTCTCCCTTCCTGTGACAAAATATCTAAGATAATAAACTTATAAAGGGGATAAGATTTACCTTGGGCAACATTCTGGAATTTTGGTCCATGGCTGTTTAGCTACACTGCAGCAAATTAGAATATGATGACAGTGAGCATGTGGATGAGAAAAGCTGCTCACTTCATTAGCAGCCAGGAAGCGAAAGGAGAAGACCAGACCAGGATCCCAGTGCCCTCCAGAAAGTGAAATGGCAAAATGACTCTGTTTTGTTCTAGCTGACTGTTGTTCACCCTATGTTTCTGCCTAGCTGCCCCCCACCAAGCCCATGCTAACTGCAGCCAGTGAGGCATAACATCTCATGCATGCAGTTTCAGGGAGGTACACTATTTCTACAACACTGGGAAACTTAAAAGTAGCCAGGTAGCACGTCCAGACAGCATGTCCTCCCACCCAGCTATACCTGCATCTCCATGGAGCCCATTGTTTTTGCAATACTAAGAAACTTGTTTTTCCTAACAGAAACTTTTTGTTAACTAAAAATGATTTTGTTAACTGACCTGCCCCTGGTCTGGTGTACCTATGGTGATCTATGTAACTGTGGTTATTGTCTTTGGCCTTGGCATGATGTAACTGTGGCTTTAAATTTTATAGACTCCAGTCTGCCTCCCCTTGGGATCAAGAGTTCTTCTGGGCATTTCCCCCCTCTCTGACTGCTAGGTTAAAAAGAACTCTTTTCAAGGCCAGCCTGCCTGGTCTACATAGTGAGTTCCAGGCTAGCTGGGCTATAGGGAGACCCTGTCTCAAAAAACAAAAAACAAAACAAAACAACAAAAAAAGGGGGACTCTTGATTTGGCCCAAAACTTCATGGCATTTCCCACTAGATATTACAAAAGTCACCCCAAGCCACCCCCAATGGTATAACTTCCCTCTAGGGTCCACCTCTTAAAAGTTCCACTGCCTCCCAATAGCACTACAGGCTGGAGAACAAACCATCAATACCCGGACCTTTGAGATATACTCAAGATCCAAACTATAGCAGGGTCTATAAAAAGACATTATTGTGCAAATATTGTGCATACTGTTCACATCAGAAACCTGTTTTCAGTATCTACTGTTGTTGAAGGTGCATCAAAAAATGAACATCAAATTAACATACTATTCTATAAAATCAAATATTCAATGGTTTCATTAAGTCAAAATTTAAAATATATTTTATTTACTTATTTAGTTTTCTTTTTAAATTATGCATATGAGTGTATTGACTGCATGTATGTAAGTTTGCCTGTTTCATGCAATGCCCACAGAAGTCAGAAGAGTGTTGGATTTCCCTAGAACTGGAGTTATGGACAGTTGTTAGCTGCCATGTGGGTGCTGGGAATTAAACTTGGGTCCCCTGGAAGAGCAATCAGTGCTCTTAATGCCGGAGCCATCTCTCTAGCTCCTAAGTCAAACTTTTTAAGAAATATTTTATTATTTTTATTTTATGTGTATGAGTGTATTGCCTGCATGTAAGTGCACCCGTGTTGTGCAGTGCCCTCAGAGGACAGAAGAAGGTGTCAGATCCCCTGGAACTGGAGTTATGGATGGTTGTCAGCCACCATGCAGGTGCTGGAAACCGAACCTGGGTCCTCTGCAAGAGCAACTAGTGCTCTTAACCACTGAGCCATCTCTCCAGCCCCCTAAATCAAACTTTTAAGTGAATCTTAAAAAAAAATTTGATCAGCATGCTTTAAGTTTGAGGAAGGAAGAAAGAGAAAACGGGGTTGGGGAGATGGCTCAGTCAGAAAAGTGCTTGCTATGCAAGCATGAGGACCGGAGTTCAGATGTTCAGCACCCACATTAAAGCTGGGTATGGTGGCACATACCTGTAAAGCCAGGACCAGGGGGACAGAGACAGGCAGATCTTGGGAGCCAGCTGGTCAGTCAGTCTAGCCAATCTATCAGCAAGCTTTAGATCTGGCAAGAGACCCTGTCTCAAAAACAAAAAAGGCAGAGAGCAATAGATGAAGATACCTGAAGTCAAAGTCAATCTCTACCCTCCACATTTGTACTCATACAAGCCAGAGAGAGAGAGAGAGAGAGAGAGAGAGAGAGAGAGAGAGAGAGAGAGAGAGAGAGAGAGAGAGAGAGAGAGAGAGAGAGAGAGAGAGAGAGAGAGAGAGAGAGAGAGAGAGAGAGAGAGAGAGAGAGACAGAGAGAGAGAGACAGAGAGAGACACAGAGAGAGACACAGAGAGAGAGACACACAGAGAGAGACACAGAGAGAGAGAGAGAGAGAAAGAGAATAAAGAGAAAACAAAAGGTAGAAATGATTTTTAAAATGGCTGGGAAGATGACTCAATGGGTAAAGATGCTTGGGTCAATACTGATGACCTGAGTTTGATCCCTAGGAGGGAGCTTCTACTGGATTTTCTGGAGTCAGGGTTTGAGAGTGAAGTTGTAGAGACCTGTGAGGTCAAATGCTGTTAGAGAGCAGGAAACAGCAGGTTCAGGTCCAGATGTAGATGGGCAAAAATGAACAGGCAGACAGTTGAGTGGGCTACTTCAACAATAGAGGACTGAGTCCCAGGGATGGTTATGAGTCCTCTGCTTGTCAGTATTTGACTCACATTGGGTCATACCATTACAATGTTAGGTGTCCATCATTTTATGTGATCTGAGCGAGGGAATTATATAATTTCCTTGGTCTGCTGTATCTGTGTTTCTGATAAGTTCTCGGGCCTGGTTTTCCTGATATGATTTTTTAATACACCCATATGTTTCCTCTACAGTTTGATGAATTTATAAGGTGATTCCCTTTCTACTCCCAGAAATAAGTCATTTATCAGTCTGTGCTGGATGGATGGTGCCTGAGAGATGATGTGTGGTTTGTGGGTTCACCGTGAGACTACAGGCATCCTTCCCTCTTGAAACAGAGTCAAAAGCTGCTTGTAAACGGGAGTCTCTCATGTCAAGGAACAGCTTGAAAAACTACTGTTTCACACAATATGGAGTAGCCAAGAGTAAGACACAGCATGATTATAAGAGTCATCAAGAGACCCTATTAAACTCATAGAAAACTTACCCCCAGCATGGTGCAGACTGCTGTTCTCTGCCTCTGCCCAATACCTAGGGTCAGTTCTGTGCTGCCATCACTCACTCCACTGTGAGGAATATTCTCAGTCCTTCAAATCAGACTGGAATCTTTGCCAGTGTAGAGATGCCTCCCTGTTCTCTTTCAACTGATTACACTTTGGGGAAAGATTGCTGTTCCTGGTCTTGTCCACAACCCTCCCAACATTCAGAGTGGAGCAAGTTCACAGAGCCAGGTAAAATGACAAAATGGAGCTAGAGGCCCAGCTGTGGCCCCAACTGTCCACTAGCATCATTGCCCGTGTGCACAGGGCTCTTTCTCTTGGGCTTGCTCTGTCCCAGTAGACCCTTTGAGCTACCAAATGAGCACCTGGAAGCCTCTTCTATAAATAGCTACACACGCTCAGACTTGCCCAAGACTCCTGACAAACACAGGCTGTTGTCAAGCCAGACTGCTGCTCCCAGCTCTAGGAAGGCTTAGACAACATTATATGGTGTTCTCCTGTGGACCCATATTGCTCTTATTCATTCTTAGACGGAAAAAAAGAATTTTAGATGGAGATGATGCCTCCCAGGCCTCTGAAGACATTTGTGTCAAGGTAATGGGAATACATTGGTTCAGCCTGCCCTGACTGAGTTGTAGGAGCCATACCCCAGAGTTCTCAGACACCCACGGAAGTCACATGCTGAACAGGCAGCAAGAGATGAGGGGCAAGCTGAGTGGAAACTACTTCTGGCTGTTAAGTCTTAAAGTTCTCTTCAGGTGTAGGGAAGATCACCTTGCCTTACATTGTTCATTTGTACTGGATAAGGCTGGCAATTGATACATTTCTTTGGTACATCAGAAGGGGAAAAGCTACAAACAGCGCTCTATGAGATCCACTCTGAGAACTCAACCAATGAGATTAAAATTATTTCTGCCTGTACTGAACATATCTAGACATTTCTTCTTGTCATTGTTGTTCCCCCAAACACTATACAACAGCTGTTTCCATGGTCTGACACTGAATTAGGTATTTATTACAACTACTGGAGATAATTTGAAGTGTATGGAAGGATGTGCAGATTCATCACCATTTTAAGGGTCTTGAGCATCCAAGGATTTGGTGTTATAACAGGCACTTTTAAACTGCTTCTGCTAAAAAAGACATTGACTTCTTGCTTTGGGTCCACAGGGTGACTAAAAGCAGGATGAAGCCTGGTATCTCTGCCTTCATCATGTCTCTGTCTCTTTTGCATGTAGGTGTATTAATCTCTCTGGAAGTATCTGTACAAAAACTGGTAATAAACCTGTCTCACTCCCCTTCAAAGGTAAGTAAGGTATGAAGAAAAGTTAGCTGAGGCATCTTGTTGTCAGATTTTTTTTTAACCAGTCTTCTTTCAGAATATCCCAAAGGCCCCTAAACATCTTTAGTCTTTGTGTAAATCTGCTGTTACCTTGTATTCCAGGAACAGCAGCACCTCAAAGGACAGACCACCCCTAAGATGAGGCCAGTTATCCATGATGGTCAGTTGGCACCCTGGAACGTGCCAGTAACCATCACCTGAGAACCAGCATGTTCCCTCCAACAATATGGACTCCTTCAGACCACCTTGCAGAACCAGAGCTGAGACAAGGGCCAACCAGACCACAGCTGGCCCAGGACTGCTTCAAAACATGTGCCTTGCGCTGTAAGAGCGCCTGTCTCTGTGGCCGCTGCCTCCGCCTTCCTTCACTGACTCCACAATCCAGCATCTTGACCTACCAACCTGACTGAAGACCTATGACTTGCCAGGAATCTTCCAGGACTTCAGCAGCAGATTGGGACTGAGATATCCACCTTCATAGACTGAGAAGCTGCCGGGTTCTCAGTTTCTGTGGCATGTAGACAGCCATTGTTGGACACAAGGCTAGTGTCAGTTGTAAGCCATTGTAGAATCAGCTTTTATAGTAAGTAAATATACATATATATACACAGTCTATTACATATATGTGTCTGTGTGTGTATGTGCATCTATGTGTGCATATGTGGGAGTATGTGTATACATGTATGTACATGGGTATGTGTGTGTATGTGTAGGTAGTTTATGTGTGTACATGGATGTGAGTATGTGAGTGGGGATATATGCATGCATGTGTATATATGTGTGTGGATATGTGGATATGTGGATGTGTGTGTATGTATATGCATATATGTGTGTACAGGCAAGCAGCACTCAGACCTTTTTATATTGGGCATGTGCCATGATGTGTGTGCAGGGGTCAGGGGACAACTTGTGGAACTCAGTTCTTCCATCCTTCCGGGATCATCACACTTAGCAGCTTTTACACACTGAGCTGTCCTTCTGGCATGGAATAAATACTTCTAACATCAGTGTAATTTAAGCCAATTGCTCTAGACAAATGTCTAAATTCCTCACAGGAAAAAAGCTGCTCTTTGGCTTGGGGGAAAATACTTGATAGGATTTGATTATGAAAAGGTCAGTAATGTAAAGGACTCAGTCTGAATGAAGGATTCTCTAACAAAGAGACAACGTTTCTCTGTATGATAACTGCTAGTTATTACTGGTACTTCTGCCATTCCCTATAAAGCTCTCTGTAGTTCTGGTCCAAAAATGCTGATCTTCTGTGAGTGCAACCAAGATCCCTTGCCCTGTAGGTTCTGATTAGGCTTAGTCCATGGGAGGTACCTGCAGGAGCAGAAAGGAAGGAGAACTGGATGTGCTTGTCACAGGCCACCCTGCTCCAGCCTCAGTCCCTGCCCACCCCAGGGGGTTTTGGTTTCAGCCCTCACTGGCTCTGGCAAAGAGATCAAGCCCAGAAGGGTCCAACCTCCTACCACAGCTGATCCCCGGAGGCTTCACTTTCCTTGTAGCTTCTTTTTGCCCATGTAATGAGTCTCGGTTACTCCCCTCCCCTCCTCACTGCTTCCCACTAACAGCAGAGACCTTCAGTTATCTCCTGACATAGAATCAGGCAGGGGCTCTGTCTCTTTAAGAATTAAAGAAGACTCTGAGAGGCTTGTGATTGGAGAGTTAGCTCCCAGCAGGACAGAGTGGCTGAGATTTTAAAATCCTCAGTTGGGCTTCCTCAACTTCATTATTATTTTTTTTCCTTCTTTTTTGGTGTAATTCTTCATTATCCCCAAACTCTCTAAACCTGTAACAAAAGATAATCTGAACAAACTGACCCTAGGTTAATGGTACGCAGTTAAACACATAAAAAGCAGTTTTCATATTTGAGACACCATGAACTGAGAAAACAAGAGCAGGCCTCCACCTCCTCTGTGAACATTTCTTTCCACAATACCTCAGAATAACCAGGCTGGCCCAGATTTCTTTGCACTGGGAGAGGATGGTAACAAGGAATTTTGGGGGTTACTAAACAAAAATGAATGCTCAGAAAAATCCAGGCTGGTCATGGTGGCACATGCCTCTAATCCAGCACTAAGGAGACAGAGGTTGGAAGATCTCTATGAGATCGAGGCCAGACTAATCTACATAGCCAATTCTAGGCCAGGCGGGGCTACAGGGAGACCCTGTCTAAAAAAAAAAGTCTCCCTGAGTTCTGGTTGTGGCTGATCTGGGTATGGCTGATCCATAAGGCCTGTAGAAGTCTCAGAGGCAGTCCGGACATTCTACCAGGTACATAGACTTTTTTAAAGAACAACAAAAAAAAGCTATCTAAAGTAAAGGAAAACATTTGTTTGATTTTCACAGAAATGCTGTAAAATATATATGTTTATTGGGCCAGTGAGATGGCTCATCAGGTAAAGGCTCTAGCAGTCAAGCCTGACAACTTCAGTTCAGGAGAAGGAGAGAACTGGCTCCTACAAGTTGTCCTCTGACTTACACTGGTGGGCCTTGGCACTCCCACACTCCCCTACACACACTAATAAATAAACAGTGTAATGAAGTGTTTCTAATATTTTATTTATTATTTTTATTTTTTATGCATATGAGTGTAATGCCTGGTGCTAGGTAGGTGCACCTGTGTCCTGCAATATCTGTGGATGTCAGAAGAGGGCAGGAGTTGCAATGGTTGTTAGCTGCCACGTTGGTGCTGGGAATTGAACCTGGGTCCTCTCCAAAAACAGCCAGAGCTCTTAACCACTGGGCCATCTCTCCAGCCCCCATGAAGATTTTTTAAAGTATGATTGTTGTGCAAAGATTGCCTTGCAGGGCCTGCTTCCATCCTCTGAATTACGTTCAAACAGGACAAATGTTGAGAAAACATGGAACCATCCAACCACAGGGTGATGCTCTCATTCTGCAATTTTTTTTTTTTTTACTTAAGAATATTTGATTATCAAGAATCATAAGCAGTACTAGAATAGTTCTGATATTCTCCCAACTCCCACTGCGCGCACACACACACACACACACACACACACACACACATGCATGCACACACAGAGTGAGAACCCTATACCATTAGACTGAGTGTGAAAGAGCAACTGATTCCCCAAGTTGGTGTAACTCAGCTGTGCAGCAGGGGGCCTCTCCTGTATTAGAAACATTCTGGTTTTGACCTGTCTAGCCTCATATATCCCTAGCCTCTCTCAGTCTACACTGTAGTCTCTGCAGAGAAATTTCTTCCACCCATCTACCTAGTTCTTTGACTGGCCTACAAATTAAATTGGCATAAGATAGATTTGTTTAAGTTTTAAGCTACATGTATGAATGGGAGTTTCACACAAAATAAGATGACTCCTGCCTCATCCTGAGCTGGCATGGGGCAGGCTATGGGGGGCAGAGGGAGGAAATGCATGGTGATCTGTTATGCAGAAAAACTCTCTCACATAATATGAAAAGTGACTAGGCTGGTTCTTTCCTAATGAAAATTTCTTTATAAATATTAATGTATGACTTTAAAAGGGAAATTTATATTTTGGGCAGTTGAGGGGAAGGGTAAAAGACTTTTCTCCACTAATTGATTCTTAATTTCCTTTCATTCAGCATAATCAATATGCCAAAATGGATTATTTAGTTATATGTTCTGAACCCTTCCGTATTTTAAAAAATATTTTCTTTATTTTTATTTTCTGCATATGAATATATTGCCTGCATGTATGTAAGTAAGTGTACCTGTGTTGCACAATGCCCAAGGAGGCCAGAAGAGGGTGTGGAATTCTGTGGGGTCACGCCCTCTCTCCCTGGGTTGTTGGCCACCGTTCCACGAGGACAAAGGGAGCAGAAGCGATGAACGGGGTCAGGATGGCCAGTGAGCACTGACGGAAGAAAGCCCTTCTGGGGAGGCAGGTTCAGTGATACAAACAGCTCCAGACTCGGTGAAACAGCTCCATTTATTCAGTGGGGGTTAGGGAAAATATAGTGCGGAGGCAGTAGCCAGTGCCTCAGCTGGTAGGTGCTCATAGTATGCTTTATTTACATGTGGCAATAGGCTCCTATCATCCGACTATCAGGCAATGCCTGATTATCATATAGAAAAAACCTGGGGGTAGTTTTTACTCCAGGTAACGATGCCAAAGGTCATGTTCCAAATAAGGTCAGGCATCCGTGCTTGGCGGCACTTTCCAGGTAAGTCAGACAGAGAGCAGGAGGCCCCCTGCTGAGAAGGGGAGTCCTTCCATACAGCCCCGAGCCCCTTAGAGCTATCCAGACATGGAGGACTACAATCCTAGCAGCAGGGTTCCCCAACAGAATTCCCCTGGAACTGGAGTTATAGATGGTTGTTATCCGCAACATGGGTGCTGGGAACCAAACCCAGGTCCTCTGCAAGAGCAGTCAGTGTCCTTAACTGCTGAGCCATCTCTCCAGCCCCTGAACCTTTCCATCTTTATACAGTAGCCAAACCCGCAAACACTCATATCTCAGGTCTTCATGGGTTCTCCCCACCCAGACACACTTCACACCCATTTCCCTGTTCACCAGGCAGAGGCCAGACAGAGCTCCAGTCCCTTCTCCAGCTGATTTCATTTATTCACAAATAATGACTGTCAAGTATCTCCAGGGCACTTCATGATTATTGCTCATAGAAACTACCAAAACACTGAAATTGCCCCACTCTATCTTTACCTTCTGTCATTAGTCACAGGCAAATTAGCTACACAAACCTGGTATATAATAGCTGCTTAGTGACTGTGAAGTGAGGGAATGAATGAATGAACATTTCTCTGCCCCACCACCCAAATTCACCAGTTGCCCAAGAGGTCATCCTATATTTTTAATACAGTCAATGCCATTTTGTTCTTAAATCTATAGAGCTGGTTTTAGCACTAAGCCCCATACCATTACAGATGGTTTATATGGCTCTGGAATCCATCCTCCTTAAACAACAATACACTACAGACAGTGTGGAAGTAATTAGTAAGAGACACGTGAGAAGGTCAGGGATGAGCCCCAAGAGCTTTGGCTTCTACATTCAACTCTGCAACTAGGAAAGGAAAGACTTTTTTCCCCTTTAGCTATCACTAGGTTGGTAGATAAAGTTCTTTATAATGAAAGATTAACAAGAGAGAAACATACATGTTTATTTAATCTAAGTTTTAGCTGTTGTAAGAATGTTCAAGTTTTCCTTTTGAAAGTTTGGTAATGAAGTTTGCTCAAGTAAACTGACAAGAGAAGATAAAAGGCAAACAAAACCATTAGTATGCATATGCATGGAAGTCATGCAAAATATGAAACTTAAAGAAGGGCCAGAGAGTTGAGGCTTAAATAGCCTCTTCACAAGAGAAGGATCAGGATCATGTGCTATGGGCAATTTTGGAAGGGTAGTAAATGGCTTTTTTTTTTTTTTTTTTTTTTTTTTTTGGAAGATTCATCCTCCTGAAGGCATTTCCTCAAAAAACGCTTCCTAGGTCATTGTTTTCTGACTTCCAATGACACCACCTTTTCCTGAATCCAATTCCCTTGCTTGTTTGAAAAAGGTAATGCAATCTCCAGTTAGCCAATGATTTTTTTTTTTAAATTGAGTTTTCATAAATGATATTTTTTAAGGGGAGGGACACAAGCAAGGCC